TGCATAGGCGGTCTGCTAGGTATTCAGTAAAGCGGCTAATGCATAGGAGCTGAACCTTTTGTTAAAACACCTTCAAATGCTTGGACCTATCGCCTTTCCGTTCTTTCGCCTTTCTTCCACCTGGGAATTAAGTTAACAGAAAACCAATGTCAGAGTGTGTAAGAAATTAAAAGTGAAACATTGTCACCTTGAACTTTTCTAAACACAACAAGAATGGCTTGGAATGTTTCTGAACTACAATACCACTAAATGGGCACGTTCAAATTATGAAACATTGTGAAACGATACATATACCTCAGGACCTTCGCAGGAAGATACGGAAAGCTGTTGGGGACTAGCTACAGGTGCAGGGTCCTACTGTGTGAATTGCATATACACCGTAAAGACAAGCGCGCCCCGGTGTAAACCATGATCGCACTCCAATGACTTGGTCTCTCGAAAAAGGATCCAAGTTGAGTCTATGTCTGTCTCAAGAGACTCCCGATTTCACTGCTCTACATGTAAAGGCAAGTATGCTTTAGAAGGCCGACTTGGGACCAACTCCGATTTGCCTGTTTCACTTCCCACCTCGGACGTTGAGAAAGCCCATTCATCCTTCCGCGTCGAAACCGCACACGCCAGTGTAGTAGGCGGTCTTAAACTTCCGCTCGTGGGATTGCAAGCAAGAGGTTACTGGCCTCGTTCAGCATGGTTTCAAGTATGCATATATATATATATACAAATATAGGCAATACAAACAATGATTACATAACATATGAATACATATGATTACTCTATATTTAAAAGCTTGGCTAAAGCAACTTGTGTGTTGACTAGCATGAATGACCTATGAAACAAGCTTGCAGAACTGTTTGAAGAGTATTGAATCAAACAACAAATAGAGGTATATAAGTAGGTAGTTCGGGATATTATCTCTGTTCTCTAGAAGGACCTAGACTCACAGATTTCTGCATGTTTATCTTTGTGTCTGAGATTGCTCACACGCCTTCCAAACTCATTCTCCAACAGCCTCAGATTTGCTGACGGTGTGGGATGGAAAAAAGGATCTATAATCTGTACAAGGATGCGTTCACGGGTACCACAAGCTGAAAGTCCCAGTTGGCATTCATCCTTGTGTGGGTGTCCATGCGGGAACCTATTGAACCCAGTCCCCAGTCTCAAGAATTGTGGATTGGCTACCTACTAGCTCGAAAGACTATAGAAGGTACCAGAAACTTGCACAAAACAGTGAGATATATTGAGATACTTGTCTAAGAGAAACACCATTCAATAGACAAACCAATCATTTATGGCCAAAACCACCGCTTCATGCAGGAGTTCGATCCGTTTTAACGGAACACAGCTCCTTGCCCACGAGTCCATCAGCGTCTTGTTTCTTGCGTCCAGGTAAACCATGTCATGTGTTTTTTCTAACAAATGAACCCTAAGAAATGCGTACCGCGTCTTCAAAGGAGTGTTTGCTCTTGGAAGGCACTTGTTTAATTACTGTTGTAATACACACCCATGTTGTTTGCTTGATTTACAAAGGTTCGAGAGTAGTTTCACCCTGCTCATCAGCTGGAAGCTTGGTCTCCTCCAGGCAACCGTGCATAGCGCCCGCCGCTCACGCTGCTGTTATCCCCTGCTTCCATCATCATCGTCGCGAGCTGCCGCCCCGCGCGGGCACAGACCGGTGCACGGAGGGCCTGCTGCGCTGCCTGCGCTCCGTAGCGCTCCCGTGCCCAGATCATCTGAACGGCCAGGACTGCTGTGCTTTGATCCCAATACCTGAAATGGGAGATGTGCAGCTGCACATCACATCAAATAATGCTAGGGATTCACCACAGCCCACGCAGGTATTTGTGCTAAATCAACTGCAAAGGCGAAACCCATTACAGTTCCTGATAGCATTCAACCCCCTTAAACATGGTAACTGCGCCCCTAAGGGGCCGTGCGTTTTTAATGTGTTAATGTTTTTTGAATGTATCGTTTGCTCGTTTTCCCACGTTTGTGTCGTTTTTGGACACACAGGTTGTTTGTGAGGAGGCTCAAGTGCTGAAAGGGTTGCTCGGAATGTCCGTTTTTAGAGGTTTCGCTACAGCTTTGAACAGTTTTGCATACAGCAGTTTTCTGGTCTAGTTTCGAATGACTCTTCTTACGTTTCCAAGCGAAGCGAATCAAAGCGATTCCTTGCCCAATAGAACCCCATCCCAGCCCCACCCCATCCCTGGCGTAGCATCAAGTGTGTTTGCACGTACTTGTACGTTCGTGACGTCAAAGCCACGAAAGCTAAAGACATGCAACGCCCGGCCCCTTCGGAGTGCAGTTAACATGAACTCTAAGCTTAGTTCACAGCCAGCCATGAACGCTGGACACTGACAAGTCACCCTGTATATTTGCCATGAATCTTCCACATGGGGTGCACAGGGTATGTAGATGGTCAATGAGACAGGCCTAGACCGTTCGATCGGGCCATTGAAACGACATCTGGGATTTCAATCGCCCACTCTAGCCTGCTGTCAAGGTATTTGCAAGATATCTGTGTGGTTGAAGTAGAAAGGTCTACATGGAACACGTCATCACAGCTTAAGCCTTTGTGTGCGATCTCGGTCCGGTGCGAGGGTGGCGCGACGGTGGCATCTTTCAGCCCAAGACGCATCACAAGGCTTAAGCTCTCATTGAGTGCCTTTGGGATTTGCTCCACCAATTGGTGCAGAAACTCCGAAGTCTTCGGTCCCTGCCACGGGCATAAGAGGATGGTGGCATGTTCCCACCAACGTGTGAGGTTACATGGTCAATCACAACCAGCTTGGCATGGTCAAATCATGGGCAATTCACCCTGAGTTCCAGGGAATTAGTCATCCAGGGGCTGTGGATAGTGGAACAGGGGGCACCCGACTTCCGATATCCTCCATTAATTAAGCGTTCCTTTGGTACCGGCTTGAGCCAGTAACACCGCCAAGTTAGGTGGACTCTTCCCCCAAACAAGGAGCCGAACCACTCCGACGGATATCTACCAGTGACGGTGCAAACCGGTAAGAGCTGGGTAGACTGGGCATTTATATAGTTCCGGAATCTTCTACAACACCATCCAGCATAGGAATGCAAATCTACTTCCCATCTTCCGAGATGGCTACCATGGTGGAACATGGTGGAACTATACCATGAACATCCATGAACTACCCATTCTGCTCATCAACAATAGTGTTCCATCCATGCAGGATGTCTTCAGTAGCTATGGCTCAGCTCGCATTTCTGAGTGCCCAGAGTGACCAAAAACCCAGAACAATGTCACCAGGGCAGTCTCTTAATCCTTTCCACACCAGGCTACGCAGGACTTGGGAATGAACTGGGTGTCCTTAGCTCGGCGGCAAAGGCCAAAAGCTGAAAAAGCACATACCAAACCAAAGAATCCCCGCGAATGTTCTCACTCAAATGGCACATCCTTGGATTGGAAACCCCATTTGAAGGGCCTGAGTCGCGAGGGCTGTGCGGTTTCGGTGTGGTTTTACTCCAAGCGATTGGCAGTGCGACGTAACTTGTCGTGAAGGGAGTCCAAACAAGCAAGTTGAACATGGAACTGGTTCCACTACTAACACCCTCACCAATGGTGTACTAAAGGCTAAAGGTGCAACTGACAGCAAAAGCACACGTAAAGAAAATAATGGGAACTACTCGCACATGCTTCATACAAGTGGGGATCTTTCAAATCTATAGAAAAGCCATGAAAGGCCGATGTTCAAAGGAACTGTCCAGGAAACAAGACCACGACACAAAACAAAACGCCTTGCGGAAACCGCATTTCAGGGGCAACCAAAGCTGTTCATCGAGAGGCATTCCGGTAGAAGGGCAAAGCGTACTGAAAGCTGTCGGTCGCCAGGACGATGGGCAAGCCAAAGGAGAAGATCGAATTGGCGGCCACCGGGTCGGCAAACAGATTCCACGCAGTGAATGGGGGGTTGCCGGTGAAGGAGGTGCCACCCGCCTGATGGAGAGTGTGTATAGTTCAAATCTCAAAAGAAACAGAACAGTTGACAAAGGCTTCGCTACAAGGGTATGGGACAAAGGATTCAAACAAAGGATTCAGTCTGCTCCCATCCAGGAATTGCACAATGCAAATCTGAATTGGTTCCAAAGATCTTGATCACATCTTGTTCAGTTCTTGCAGCCCTTCAGCAATTTTCCACATGCCCAGGTATGTGACCTTCTCCTGTACTTCAACACGCCAATGCAAACTCAACAAACTCTCAACACGTGGTGATCAGATGCTGCTGCTGCTGCTGCTGGCAGTTCTCTTATTAAGTAATTACTCTACAAAGGGTTCTGAGAAGAGTTCTCTTTCTCTAGAGTGAGAAAAAACTTAGTGACGTAGTGACTTAAAGTATGGCCCGAGACTGTGGCTTTTCCGGCGTCAAAAACCCCAAATAACTGTGGTGAGAATGACGCACATCCCACAAAGACAGGCGTAAAGGGAACAAATGACACCGAAAACGATCAGGGACATCTTGACGCCAAAGCTGAGTCCGAACCCTGCTCCGAGACACAGAGTAGGGCCAAACCTGCTGCACTGGTGGTGGTGCATCTGGTGGATCCACCTGGCCACCGGAGAAGTAGATCTGCCTGATCTTCTGGCGGAGGAGTTTCTCATCCTCGAAAAGTCTTCCCCGCAAACTTACTAGCGATGCCCTCCAACCTACTAGCGATGGCCTCCAACACAATAGCATTTGATCCAATCGGTTTGCTACTGAGTTTCATTCTCAATAGATGTTTCTAGTGCTATACAGTCTGACGATGTCTGACGTCTGTTTGTTCCTGTCCTTCTGGAGTGCCTCCGCAAGGCTCGTCAAGGGTCCCAGGACGATGAGATCCACGGGGTGCTGTTGGCGGCGGAGGCTTCGAAGAAGCAGCTTGGAAGCATACCTCAATATTCACTGTACGTTCTACTTTGGAGTAGTTTGGAGGCCATCGCTAGCAGGTTGGAGGCCATTGCTATTACGAGTTGCTATTAGGTTCCTTAGATTTGGCGCGGTGCAATCACTAAGAGTGGATCGGTGCTGCAGCAATCACTAAAAGCGTGATGCGTGCATGCAATCTGGGTAACTTTGGCTCGAAGCATCTTGAGCCATACACGATATAAACTAAGGTATAATACGAGCATATATAATGTATTAATTGATATCGTATGATCTAGGAAGTCGACACCTCCAAATCCAAACACATTCTCTCCACCTATCCCTACCACGCCGACGCATCGAATTCTGCACAGGAAATTGTGGCCACAGATTCGACTTGCAGCGACTGGGCCGTACCAGGCTGGGATCTCTGGTTGAGGATGTTTGAGGACTGGACGAGTGGGTCAAAATTCATCCTACGCTTTCCCTGGTACGAACAAGTGTTGCGACTCAAGTTCCAACATATGTTTAGACCATGACACATGCTGCGAGTCAATGGCCTTGGCTAAGGCCAGGGCATTCTTGAACGGGAGCAGCGTTTCGCGGTTCTTGGGCATCCACTCCTGCAGCGTCATATGGATGATCCCATTTCTGAGCCGAGATGCATCCAGGAGGGCGGCCGCCAATTGAATGGCAATGGGACATAGCGGCTGAGGAGATTGTCGATACCAGACAAAAGCTGGGGCCTGCCATCCGAAAAATGACGCTTGTGGTGCCTCAAAAGATCTAGAAATGGCGACCACATGACTTGTGTCGGTAGCAACCGGAATCGTACTGTCCACACGCTCTTTTCACTGCGAAAGCGAGCACGGTATAGCTCAAGGGCCCTAGGAGCCAAACGGCGGCAGACACAACATAGTGTGACAACCTGGCTCAACAGAATGAGATCCTACCTCAAATTCACACTCAACCTGTTCTACAGGTGTCACACGGCTATACATTGAAACTCTTGTGTCTTCCTAAGGCATTGGAGAAATCTACTTCTGCTTCTGTACAGTGTAGTGGCACTCCTTCAGCACTCGAAGTAGCAGATCTGGCTTCATGGACTTCGTCAGACAGTCCGACACCATCGTACTGGTGGCGATCCAGATCAACTTGTCTCCTCCATTCTCGAAAGCAATCCATGTTGGTCTTCCTTCTTGCCACAAATTCTCATGGATTCCTTGCAACTCGATACCAAGGCGCTTGTCACTCACCTTGGCCAGGACTTCCTGATTGAGGTGGTCAGAAAGTGAACGGCAATCAGTCATCGCCAAATGCGGAATGCATTCACGGGCATCATCTTCCCATGTCTTCAGACTGCGAATCTTGCCCTTGATCTCCGCAATCACACCTCTCAGCTTGTCACCTGTCTCGAGTCCGTTCTGGAGGGAATACGTTTCGGCCTGGAGAGTGCTGCGGCAGACTCTCTTAATTGTCGTGGATCCAAAAGACAGTGGCATCACCTTATAGGTGGTCGTCTTGTCGTCCTTGATCTCCTTGAGATCACCCAGAAAATGGATCCTGCCCTGTTGCGACTTGTAGTTCTTCTCGTTGGAGAAGGAGGCATCTGTGACCGTGATCACACCAACTTCACTCCATTGGAGAAGAGCCGCAGGAAAACACAATGCCACATCGTGACCCTTGTGTGCCAGGACAACGACTGCGTTAGCGTCTGCCAACGTGGACACAGTTGCATCTTTAATGCTAGACTGCAAACGGCTTACCCTGTAACCAAGGTCAGGCCTGGTCTGTCTCGAGATCCAGGCGAGCGATCCGGTGATCGATCTGAGCTTCGTGATGTCTCCTTGCTGAAGACGCTCACTGCCTAGCCTAGACCCAACATCTGCTCCATGAATCTTCCTAGTGTTATCTGCTGTGTCGACTTTGATGACCTTGTCATCTCCTCGCACGAACTGCTTCCCACAATATCGAAAGCTGTTAGTGTCTGAGCTGCCGACACTGAACTTGGCAAGAAAAGACTTCATCACTTCCTCGCCTTCCGGAAGAAAACTATAAAGCAAGTCGTCCACGTGAGTGCACATGAGGGCACAAGCATCTCCTCCCTGCTCACCTGGGAGGTAGTACAATCCTGGGAAAAACTGGCTTGCCTTCAGGCCGCTCTTACGTGCATCGGCATCCAAACGCAACCAAAAGCCTCTTCCTGAGTCCGTGATCCCGTATACAGGGACCCTTACGAGAAAAAGGACATTGGGTTCTACACCTGGCAAACCTCCTCTTGGCTGACGCATGAGAAGGACTCGGTCCAGTGGTCGTCCTTGGAAATATGCCGAGGTAATATCAGCGGAATGAATGTCGGCCTGGTGGCACGCTGCCCAGCTGCAGACGAGGCAATGCATCTCTACATCAGCTGTTGGACTATCTGACCTCAAACCCTCTGTCATTTCAAAGTTCCCGCACGAAACTAGTCTGCTTTTATACATGGGCTTGTAGTCAGGGTCTCTCCCCTTCTTGTACTCTGCCTTGTCTACATCCACCCATTTGGATGGAATGCATTGGTGCCCTTCGTCAATGAGCTCTTGCGCTTGTTCTGGGGTCAATGCCACTACTGCTCCGAAATCTTCAAATTTGGACCATTCCTTTTGCCTTGTTTCCTGCAGGGCTTTCTGCACTTCTGGAGGCGCAGACTCATAGTGAATGCTCTTTAGAACCTTCTTACCTAGCTCTGCTTCATCCTCAGTCTGGGCAAGAAAACTAGTCCACATGGCATGTGCTTCTTCTCGATCTTGCTCTGGTAGCTCTCCGTCTCTCTGGCGTGCTCTCTCAAAATGTTCTCGTAGAGAAGCTGGCAAGTCGTTCAAATGATCATACACATTAGGCCATGCATGTGAAACACTCGTGGACTCCCTGCGGGACGGTTGCAATGAGGTACCGCGTTCACTCTCCGGTTCAGCGACACGGGGCCTCACATTGCGACTGTGCTCATTTCCTGTGTCAGGGAACGGACGTGAAACGGAGCTAGCGGACCTACTCAACTCTTCAAGCGCATCTTCACCTTCGGATTGGTCTTCATCAAAGAAATCCGGTCTGATCCCTACATCTAACTCATCATCTTCAGGAACAGGGGGTAGTGAACCAGCATCCGGAAATTGGGGTTCGGTTTCTTGAGATTCGATGTGTATTGGGGATTCGGGTTCGCTCGGATCTGCACGTGCATCAAGGAAAGACTGCTGAACACCTTCCTTGACAACGTTTTCGGGAAAAACAGGCTCACCATGCAAAACAGCATGAGCTAGTGCTTCGGTCGGAGTAGCAATCTTCACGTTTTGGTTGGCGACCAACACTGGAACATTTCCGCACAACAACCACAAATTCCTTCATGGCCTATCACCCGACTAGTGGGACTCCATGTGGCGCCTCCCTTTTGATTGTCTCGACGAAAGGTCACTAGATCACCTACTGCATACTCCCGAGGAAGACTGGAAGCATTGCGAGTAAGCGCACGAGACACCCTTGACGAACAATCTAGGTGAACAAATGCTTTCTGAGCTTCCTGCCTGGCCATGTGCTGTAAGGCGAAAATGCTCTCTGGGTTGTGACGGGCTTCAATAGCTCCAAGCTCGGCAAACCGTTCTTCAGACAATGGGCTCGGATCTGATCGGGGTCCTTTCCCAAGTACCCATTGACTAGGCGAAAAACCTCCGACTCTACTGGAGTTGTTCTTAGTAGCTACTACCTCGAGCAGTACCTGCTCAACCTGTTCTCTGCCAACAGCGCCTGTCTCTTTGCAAACCTTCCTAAAGAGTGACTTGACAATGCCTCCATGACGTTCTACACGACCAAGATTCTCCGGGCTTTCCAGAGGGGTGTGGTACACTTGGATACCATGTTCATCCATGTACTTCTTCATGACACCTCGGTTGTGCAGACCTCTGTCACATGCAATGTTCACAGGATGGCCACACCATGAGAACCAACGCTTCCTCAGTGCTTTCAGACATTCGGCAGAAGACGGTTGACCAGCACCAAAACGAACAACCTCACATAGCTGAAAAGTAGTACCCAAACAAACCATGTTTAACACTTGGAACTTGTCACCGGAAATGTCGTGAACTTCAAACACATCAATTCCTACAGTGTGGTTGAACGAGTAGTTGTTAGGCAATGCTGTCTTGTGCGTGGCCTTCTTCTGGGATGTTGCTTCACAAGTTTCGCATCTGTGGATCCTGACAGCATCGATGAATTCCTTTCGAACCTTTGCTGCACGAAGGAGATGGATCATCGTCTGTTTGGGGACGTGTCCAAATTGCCTATGCAATCTTCTCACACCAATCCTCACACGTGCAGGCAACTTGCGCCACATCCGGCGTCGTTCGGCTTCATCTGCTGGCAGGCCTGGGATGTCTACTTCATCGACCAGTGTCTCTTCCGAGATCAGGTCTTCTACTGGGTTCACCTGAGCACGGTCATCATCATCCCAGATGGCATCGAACTGCTGTTCATCGTCCATCACCTCTTCCTGCAGTTCACCAACAAATGCAATAGACATCTCATCATCCAAAGTTGTATCATTGGTCCATTCACCTAACCAATCAACAAACTGCCAAGACAAGACATCATTCATGGTCTGCCCTCGAAACCACGATTCGAAAAGCTCAGTCCACTTGGGATCATTGCAGGTGAATGCCAAGTCATGGTCGTTGATATGGGGAATCTGTGGAAACTCATGTTCCTCCCATCTCGGGGTAGTTGCAACGTCAATGTGCAAAAACCGGCTACCACTCATGTCACAATGGGATTCTACTTCACCCAAAATCTTTCCATGTCTCAAAGAATCTGTACTCCGTTCATACTCGATGGCAATGACGATGTTCTTGTAGTCTTGCAAAACATCATACCAAATCTTGGAGTCCTCATCAGGATTGAGGTACTCAGCTCCCACACCGACGTCAAAAACGTCTGCAACACCATCTGCTGCTTGAAGCTCCTGAAAAATGCGGGGATGCGAAGTAATGACTAAGGTTGGAGGTTCAGAAACTGGGACGTCCTTCAGACCAATGCTGGATTTGACCATTGCATCTTGATGGTTCAATCGGTCAATGCCCTCCAAGACTGCCCTCCTATGCTTCTTACCCATGGTGGTTCTCTCATTGGGGTCAATTTGCAAAGGAATGGACAAGACTCCTGAACTACTTGGCTGTGCATTGGGATCTGGAGGGACTTCCGAATCGGTTTCATTGCTATCTTCCAAGTTGATCTCAACCTGTTCTCTCCTATCGAGGTCCCATGCCATGTGTGCTGCTGGCTCGTAACTTGCGGACTCTGTGGATACGGGACTGGTTGGCGATTGTGGCTCAGACTCTGGACGAACAGTTTGAGAAATAATGGACCCTTCTGGTGTTCTTGTGTCCTCGGAACCTGACGTCTTGGATGATTCCCTAAGTCTTCTTGGCTTTGGGGGAGTTGGCGGAACGGAAGAACGAACATCGATCTTTGGGGCCGAGGCCAAAACCAGGCTCTGCTGCAGCGCCATATATACCTGCGGGCTTCGATGGGTGAAACAGATCATATCGGACCAGGGCTCGGGGATGTTCGCCGAGGTCTGGATAGGCGCTCCGTTCTGGATGCGCTCCCAAACTGCTCCTGCCTCACGCCGTCTGGCGTAGACAGTCTTCAACCACCCCCACTTCGTCATCCAGCCGGCACGCGTGACTGCTGTCGTGTAAACGCCAGCTCGGATCTTGAC